TAACCAGAAACAGTGTCATGGCTGGTAGAACGGGCATTCTGTAATTACTAACCTGGATCCGAGACAGTCAAACAGGCTCCCACTTCACTGATATAATATGATCCTTCATCCTGTAAAACAGCAGGGTGTTAACCTTTGGTTCATCTCTATTCATATGTTTACAATCTTGGTTTATAACCTTTGTTTAGGATTCCAGCTATTAAATCTCTATAGATATAAGGGCTGGGGAGTTACTTGGTACTGGGTCATAATTGTGTATAAAAATTCCAAAAAAGTAAACATACCACAAATAAATAAATAATAACGAACAGTTTTCCCCTGGCCCCAAATTTCCCTACTGCATACTAGTTGCTAGGGCCTGATATTCAAATTCCACCAGTATAATCTGAGTCCCTTGGTTGGGCCAAATTTCTCCCTGTTACAATGCAAGTCCATCAGGAAGGTGGAGGAGCAGGAGCATATAGTAAGCTTTTACTAGCAATTAATATCTAAGGGTAGGAATTCTTATCCTGAGACCACGCATCCTTTCCTTTTATTTTTAAGACCATCCATCTGGTTTAGAAGGCTCATCCTTAAGGATACCATGGGAGGACCTCCCGGGGTCCATAAACCCTCTGGGAAAAACAATGTATACAAAATGGTGTCTACATGTTCCTACATAGGGTGTCAATGGCTTTACACAGCTTAATGGGTCTATGTCTTCAAAATGGCTAAATGGGGCCACTGGGAGGGATTATGGGAAGAAATGCCTTACCCTGAGATTCCTGGGTATCCTCTAGAAGAGAACCCCAAGTGGTTGTATTTAAACACAAAGCAGTACCCCCACATTTCATCTAGGAATTATCTTTCCAGAAAAACAAAAACAAACTACAAAACAGCCCTATAAAAACGAAGGGCATGAAACCTTCTAGGGAACTGAATTGGGGTGTAGAAGGGTAAGTTGAAAAGGGAGTTTCCATTTTTTAATTGAGGTGATCCACAGTGTTCTCAGTTTTAAACATTCCTTAGAAAACCATCTATAAGTAAGAGGTGCAAAAATGGCAGAGCAACCCAAATCAGAACATGAAATTGAATTACTTTTAGAGGTTTCAAATATAGTCATTAGAGAAACTTAACAATACTAGTCTTGACCACATTATAGTTCATTTGTGTATTGTTAGTGGATAAAATGTTGATTCATTACACAATAAAAGGGTTCCATAAATACACACTGTTTTAGTAAGATCATTGATACTGATACACTGAGCTCTAGATCCTACAATTCATTGAATAGCACCTGCCACACAATAGCTTCCTACCCTGTGTCAGGCACTGTCGCGGGCACTTCCATGCACTTGCCTTATTTAATCCTCACCATAATCATGAGGGAAAATGAGGCTGGGTGACTTGCTCCATGTCACAGTCCTAAGAGGTGGCAGGGGAAGATATGACCTCCAGCTCTGCTTGCCTCCAAGTCTAGTCTTTAACGTCTCTTTCATACCCACTCCATGCCAGGGACTGTTCTAGGTCATGGGAGAGGACCTGGTTGCCTCTGTCAAGGTGCTCAGTCTCTTGGGTCTTGAAGGCAAGTTGAACAATGCCCTTAGACCATCCATTTGCTTTAGGGAGAAATGTCTCTTTTAAAAAGACACCAACTTGGCCAGCCGCGGTGGCTCAAGCCTGTAATCCCAGCACTTTGGGAGGCCGAGACGGGCGGATCACGAGGTCAGGAGATCGAGAGCATCCTGGCTAACACGGTGAAACCCCATCTCTATTAAAAAATACAAAAACAAAAACTAGCCGGGTGAGGTGGCGGGCGCCTGTAGTCCCAGCTACTCGGGAGGCTGAGG